TTCTCTTCCAGTTGCCCCCTTTCCCCCAATGAACTAGAAAGCCATGCCACCCGCCGAGGGAGAGGACGGGGGAACGTTTGAGGAACACAGGAGAAGTTATGAAATAGTGATAGGAATCGTTCAGGAGAGAGGCGAGTGAACGGACTTGAATGTAGTTGGATTATAAGGTCGCATTAAGGACCCGCTCAAAGTTTGCAGTCATGAATTTCAAGGGTTAACGGCATAGCTTCGCGTTTTTCTCCAGCCGTGCTTACTCGCATGGTAGAGGCACGGAAAAGGGTTGAAAACGCATGGAAGGGAGTAATGGGCAAGTATAGAAGTGAGGACATGAGGTAGGTGACGGCCAGCAGAACAGTGGAGGATCAGATGTGGGTCCTAGTGAAGGTGGAGGATTATTAGTCGGGATGTGAGGGGCGCGGAGTGATTGGGTAGATAGGAGGTGGTGGTTGGAGAGTGGGGTGCATGACAGAGTTTATGGAAGGGTTGGAGGTGTCGGCAGTGACAGGTATGATCATGGGGATAAAGGGCTGAGGTGAGATGGAGGTGAGACCCTCGAGGGGAATGGAGTTCAAGGCATTAGAAATCAGTGTGTGCTAAATATTGAAAACACGGGAATTTTGACAAAGGCATGTTGGACGGCAGTGACAGGGAGGGTCCAGAGTTGAGTTCTCCAAGGAGAGTAGTGGGTGGGAGAGACTGACGACATAAGGTTCAGATCAGGGCAGCGGTTAGGAAGGAGACAGCATTGAGGGGCAGACAGGACCCCTCCCAGCCCAGGGGTACAAGGTGACATGGGAGGGAAAGCACCCACCACTTGAGAGGGCTGTAGGGATAGCTGTGTCCTCAGAGGGGCGACCAGGTTTTCATCAGAGTAAGAAGGTCAAGGGACCGCTCAGAGAAGAGTTTGAAGATGGAGGGGATTTTTCAGATGATAGTGGGTTCCAGGGGATAGAGGGGAAGGGTTTCCAGCGTCGGGGAGCAGTGGAAGGCGGTCTCAGATTCGGGCTTGTAGAGAGCCATATGGAGGTTAGAGTTCAGCTGTTGGGCGGGGACCTGGGAGTCTCGGGCTTCTTACGGTAACAGAAGTAACCAGGGACATTCGGCACACTGGGATGGGCAGTCTTCACGGCAGAGTGTGGTGGTGTGGCTGTCAGAGGGCGGAGGGTCGCTAGGAAGGAGGTCGGGGATCTCGCCATGGATGGAACCCGTATGCTTCATATTTCGGCCAGTCCGATTCCAGAGGCCTGGAGAACTTTACCCGTCTGCTCTCTTGGTTCTGAAAAAAGATGTTGACTTGGACGTGAGAAGGAAGTTATGACTTATGTAGCTTAAAATGTTCTTATTGCCTTTGGCTTTCCATTGCAGTGATGTAGGACTTTCTGTCTAAAGCCTCGGGAATCCCCCAGCTGAAAAGGAGCCCAGATATGTACATTAGACTCGAGTTCCAGATGCACGTTCTGGAGGGCAGAGACGAATTAGCCAAGTGGAACTTCTGGGGGAAGTAAGACACTTCACACATAGTGTTTATGAAACGGGTATCTTGCAATAATTAAGTGAGATAAGACACATGAAAGTATTTAACGCAGTGCGTGGTACATAAGTACTTTCTAAATATTCTTTGTTATTAAATGTCCACTGGTAGGTTCTCGCGTTCAGCTTCCTTCCCTGCCACTTGCGTGGTTTTCTTATGTTGCCCTCCTTCTCTTTCATCCCCTTCCCTTCCTCTCCCTGGCCTTAGCTGTCAGCGGTGCCCACACCTAGTTGAACACTCTCCGTATCCTTCTGAGGTAGAGAACTCTTGGAATAGGGGGAGAGGCCGCCCTCAGAGGAAAGACGCTGCTGATGGGGCCGGTCTCCTGGCCACCCCAGCTGAGATCTGTGACCAAGGTGTCTCCAGAGTCCCCGTGGGAGCTGAGAGACCTGTACTGCAGGCCAAGCTTGGCCACTGTGAGGGCGGGCATCACGTGAACAGGGAGGGACTGGGCCCAGTCCCCAGGTGGAGGACAATTGCTGATCCTGTTGTTGCTAATGTGCTTCTATTACCACTGCCCTTGTTAACAGGGGCTCAGTTCCACTGCGCATCTCCCCTGCGCATCTCCCAGGTGTCAGGATTTTGTGGGAGGGAAGGAGCGGGGCATGGGGTAGGGGAGTGTACAAGCTAAGAGTATAAACTCTAGAGCCAGACTGCCTGGGTTTGAATCCTGGCTCTGTCACCAGATGAGGCGTGTGCCCTTGGCTAAGTTATCTCACTTCTCTGTGCCTCAGTTTCTCATCTCTAAAGTGGAGTTAATGGGAACAGTTACAGGTGAATTAATAGGTGAACTGATAGTTAACAAAATGCTTAATAGTTCCTGGCATGCAATAAGGATTCTACAAATGTTTGTTTTAGTAAAATTTTTTAAAATGTTTTTACAGCAATCTTATAACAGCATAACTATTTTTTTTTTTTTTTTCCTTGCGTTATGCGGGCCTCTCACTGTTGTGGCCTCTCCCATTTGCGGAGCACAGGCTCCGGACGCGCAGGCTCAGTGGCCATGGCTCACGGGCCCAGCCGCTCCGCGGCATGTGGGATCTTCCCGAAACGGGGCACGAACCCGCGTCTCCTGCATCGGCAGGCGGACTCTCAAGCACTGCGCCACCAGGGAAGCCCCAGCATAACTATTTTAATTTTACTGGTGCCAAAACTGGGACGGAGAGGTTAAGTGACTTGCCCGAGGCCACAGGGATATTAACTGGCAGAATCAAATCTAGAATAGGAATTTGGCAGACTCGAAAGTCCTTGCTTGCGGCCGCAATGCTGAACTGCCTCCGTGGACCTGCCTGGTGGGGAGTTCGCTTTCTAGAAGGGCTGTGAGGGAAGGGAAAGCAAGTGGGCACCGTGAGTCTAGGCGGATAAATAGTGGCTGGAGCCTGAGATTTCAGCAACGGGGATACTGCTTGGGGACCTGGCTGGGACCCGGGTGAGCCCAGTTCTCTGCTCCCTGCCGTGGGAGAGCAGCCTGGGTCCCCGGGCCCTGTTTCAGGGAGAGGTCCAGTCCCTTAGGCGCCAGAGAGCTGAGCCTTCCCGAGACCTTTGCCTTCTTGCCTGCTTTCTGTGTGACTGCAGTCCAGTCAGTTAATTTAAGGTAGCAGAGTGGTCCCAGACCACGTTACTCTGAGGGTCCCCGTGGGCCTCTCAGGCCTCCAAAGTTACCTCCTGCGGGTGGTTTCCTCCACTGTGAAACCCCATGACCCCTTAAAGCTACTCCGGCGAGGTCTACAGAGACGCTTGGAACCTCATTTCTCTTTCTGGGATTTTACATTTCCTTCTGTGAGCATTAAAATAACAGTCGAGCATCATCTGGGTCCTTGGGAAATTTTCCTTCTGAGTCGGTTTTTATTTTCAAGAGCCAGACCGGTGACTCTGTCCAGGGTCTACAGTCATCTCAGCTCCCATTCTGGGAGCTCTGCCATCTTTTGGTTTGGGCCCTTGGGTTCCTGGGTTCCTCCCAGTTCTGGGAACCCAGAACTGAGTCCTCTCATGAGCTCACAGGTTTGGTTCTGCGCTCGCCCTGTTGGGCACAGTGAGGCAGCTGACCCCTACCCCGGGTGTCCTTGTTTCTCTGGGCTTCCCCTTGGCGGTGGGGTGGGGGAGGTGTGTGGGTGTGCGTGTGTGTATCTGTGTGTGTGTCTGTGTAGGGCTGTGTAAGCCCAGGAGGCCAGGCCTCTTGCCAGCAGCTGCAGTTCTTTTCCCAAAATTGAGTTAGCCGCTCAGCTGTTTCCACTCTCCCCCCACTGCCAAGCGCTGCAGCACGGTCCCCGTGCCAGGTTGAAAGCGCACTCTGCTTTGGTAATTTAGAGCTTCCATTTTGAGAGAGATGGGAAACAGGAGTGAATGAGTGGGCACGTTGGATGGAAGGAGGGTGGGGACATTCTTTTTGGCAAGCCACGCTAGAACTGGCCCAGCTGCTTGGTCTTCACCCAAAATTAGGGCTAACCCTGGACTGACCCCAAGTATCCAGTGGAGAAACTCTTTATTCTTGGATCTAGACCTAACCAGACCTGGCAATCAATATTTTTTAATCTGCAAAATGGGAATAATAAATCCTACCCCATATGTTCTTCATGTCAAATGAGAAATAAGCTTTTAAGTAGTCCATCAGCTACTCACCAGGAGCAGGAAGTGACGCAAGCTTGTGTTTCTTCAAGTATATTTCTGCAGAACGCTAAGTGCTATTTTTTTTACAAAGGCACTGGCTAAATAAGTTTGGGCCACACCGGATAAACAGTGTTAAGCAGCCTTCTTTTTTTTTTTTTTTGTTTTTTTTTTTTTTTTTTTTG